GGCTCTAGCCGGCAAGGGACAAGGATAGAAAGGAGTTCCAAAATGGAGGGCGGTGGGCCCCCTTCAAAGAACTTTTTTCTTCCGCTACATTCCTATCATTCGTTCCTTCCTTCTTGCTGTAGGCTTTCGTACCAATTGATATGGATCGTTCGCAAATGCTACCTCTTGGGTTCCAAACCTCTTCCGATGCCTTTTATTCTTCATAGTGATCTCCTCTACCCGCCGAACCACGGAACCGCTACCTCTCTTTTTAGGGATTATGATCCGCAACTGGCACACCATAAAGAATAGGCTTTTGGCTGAAAAGAATAAGAGCATTGCCTCGGTATACAACCATTCCATATTCATTGCCTCCTCGTATTACGTATTAGAAAAGGTAACCAGATCTCCTCACTTGAGTTCTTTGCATTGGGCTCGCTCGGTTCGTCTGTTCATTGGAGGAAAGCATTTATGGAGCTTCATGGATCAGCGCCCGCTGTCCTTCTGTCTCTGATCCCCAATATGAGTGATACCAAGGACTGGAGTGCCACAAATCAGCTGGTCATGTCATGGCTTCTCAATGCAATTGAGCCTACAATTGCTACCAGTCTGATGTTTATGGCATCGGCTAAATAGGTATGGTCTTATCTCCATGATCTTTATTCCTGAGGAGCTAAGATATTCCAGCTTGAATAAGAAGTTCCAAATCTTAGTTAGGGGTATCCGACATTATTGAGCAGCCTCATCAAGTCTGGAACATCCCTCAGGAGCGGAACCTCTTTCCTAATCTTGTGCAACAAATTCGGAACTATTCCTAGCTCCTATACGCCTGATGAAAGGCTATGGTTGCACGGCAAATTTTCGTTTCAATCCGCCTGGAATGCTGTTAGGCATAGGGATCATGGAGTAAGCAAGTATGGGATTTGAAATGTCCCCTCAAAAGAACTCTTTTTTTCTGTGGCTTGTGCTAAGAAACCGAGTTCTTGTAGATGCATCCTTGCAAGTGAGAAATATTCCGCTGGTGTCGAGGTGCCCGCTATGTGAGAAGGAAGGCGATCGGTGTTACATTGATTTTGTTTTGGGCGTGCTCCAAGGATTTTGGAATCTGTTCAAGAATGGTTTGGAATTAAGAACTGTCAAGGTGACTCTATGGTGCACATTTTCCTAGCCTGGGCTTCTCATATTTCCTGTGAGGTTAACGAGGTAACGGATAGTTTTTCTAATTCATATTAACCCGCGGTTAAGTCAGTGAGAAGCTAGTGATCGGGAAGTCGGCTCTTTAGAGTTTGATTTCCTTGACAAGCGTTCGGACAAAGCTCAAGGCAGGTGACGGGATAGTTACCGTATGTTGCTTACTTTCTCCTATTGCCCTGTGTTCAAGTGAAAAATCAGAATTAGGGCAGGCCTGTGTACGAGTGGCTTTTCCGTTGACTTGGAAGCTTTCTTTCTATGGCGAGTGCGAGGATCTGCAAGACCGACACCTACACCAGAACCAGCGGCTACTGCAGCAGCAACTCCAACAACAATGTTCATTGCCTTCTTATCCAATTGGCTTGGCCAGTGGTGAAAAGTGTTCTTAACTCATGACTGAAGCGTTCTACTTGGTTCTTAAGGTTTTCGGGAATGTCTTATGCCGATTCTTAATTAATACATACACCAGCGCGAGTGCCTACAGCTAATGGACCTGTACCTACAACAGCTCATATACCTTCGCCTAGGGACTCATAAATCTCTTTCACAAGAATCAAAATGAAGAAAAAGGCCTCGGCCAGCCTGTTAACGGCAAAGGGATAAAGCAAAAGCCGAAGGCGGAAAGCGAAAAGCAAATCACACAAGTCGAGTGGGCGGGCCTATAACCTGTTACGGTAGCTACCTATCCATTTCTACTGCAAGGGGGATCTGTTTACGGTACTGATTCCTTTCTTCGGAGAGTTACCGCTTGCTCTGTACTCATTCTTGACTTCCCAATTAAAAGCTATCTGCTTAGTTCACCTCACGAGGAGACCTGACCTTGCTTAGGAGTCAGTTCATGGGCTTCCCCTCCTTTTTCCGAGCTTGGGAGTCAAGTTTCTAATCCTCCAAGGGGTCTCCTTCCTGGTTCCCCCGGTGGGGATACCTTCTTCACCATCCCGGATCAAGATCAGAATCGACTGCTTAATCGTATGATTCATTCACAACTTTTTTTCAGTTTCTTTGTTGGCACGGAAAACAACCTTTTCTATTCCGTTAGTCGCGCGTACACACGCTTACCTGATTCGCCCAGCTCGGTTGCAAAGAACCTACTCCTTTCTTCAACTGAAAGGGGGGGACCTGTTCTCTAAGTAAGTGGCCGGCTTCCGCCCTTGCTTCGGAATCAGATGAATAGTAAGGCTATTTAGCAGCGTAGCGAAGGCGCAGTGAAAGCTGTCAAGTTCAGTCTATCTCTTCTTTTTTGACTTTTTCAAGTGACAAGATTCCATCCTCGGCGTAGGATCAGCTGATCGTTCCGACCACCTTTCTCTATTCTCTGCTCGGCCGATGC